ATCCCACCTAGAACCACATGGCCATAAACTGCTTCTGACGTAGGAAAATTTTACGCTCTTGGCATCATCCAATTCATTAGCCTTTTCTTCTACAGTTTCGGAGTTTTGCAGCCTGCTTTGAAAACCTTCTCTGCCTCTACCTGGAGGTATTTGTGCCTGCAGGAGAATACTGGGGCTGGGGGTGAGCTTCGGGGGCTGCGCCTCGCACTTCCATCTGTATGCTGTGGGTCTTTACAGCCCCAGGACGTTCTCTAGGACTCACACCAGCCTGCCAGCTGCTCGCTACTGTGTCCGGGTGGCAGAGAAGGGGGCAACAGATGGCACCCAGTGACACCAAGGTTTCTTCTCAACAATGAACCTGTTTTACTTATGCCACTAAGATAGTTGGAGAGATGTGCTGAGTGCTTTGCCACCTTCAAGCTCTGTCCAAGTCTTGGAAATGCCACCACACCGGCCGGGACGAGAGGGAGGCAACCAGGGTGGCAGGAGGTTTCCCAGTTGAGCACTGAGTGGGCCATTTGCCTTGGAATGGGGACTGTCCCCAAGCAAGCACTGCCACCTGCCATTATCCGGGGTCATGGCCTCTGTCTCACTAGACAGAGCCGTGGGCACCCAGCTCTGTGCAGGCCCTGCAGGCAGGTCTGTCACGCCTGAGCAATGGCCCAGCGGGACCAGGTCTTTGCATCAGGACGGCAGGCAATGACAGTAGCTCACACCGGAAACAGGTGGCAGAGCCAGCCGGGCAGGTCTGGGCAGAACCCAGGACTTGTGGCCCGGCTCCCACGCCCCACCCACCGCCTGCCAGCCAGTGTCATCCGTGGTCAGAGGCGACCTAGCCCAGCAATGGTCCCCACACAGGTGCTCCCAGCCCCACAAGGGCGCCTGTGTCTCTTTTATTCTCTCCCTTCTCTCCAGTGCCTGATGCGTGGAAGGAACCTAGCAGGTTTGTGGAGTAGGTGAACGAGGGTGCAGGTTCCTGTGATGGTTTCCCTGGGTGTCCAACTTTTCCCTTGGATATTTTCATCTTAGAGTGGCAGGCGGATGGGAAACGGAACTCCAGATCGTGGGCACCAGGTCCTTTCCTGACCCTTGCCTCTTCTCAAAGAACTTCCAGGCAGCCTTGCTCCTCAGGGCAAAAATCAGTACACAGTGCTCTCGGTTTCTTAAATGGTCTTTGTTTCTGAAGACAGCTGACTGTGAAGTCAGGAAGCAGAGGACAAGATGATCTGCTGATGACTAAGCACCGAAAGTCAGCTGGGCAGCGCACACCTGCAATCCCAGCGCTGTGGCTGAAGCAGGAGGATCGCTGCGAGTTCAAGGCCAGCCTGGGTTAAAAATAAAACACCGCCCTGTCTCAAAAATAAAACAAAGCAAAACAGCCGAGAGACAGCCACTGGCTCGGCTGATAAAGACTGAGTGCCAACTGCGCGCCAGGCACTATGCTAGGCAATGTGGACCAGACAGCAGCGAACAGGGACACCAGCGCTACTCGAGAATGTACTGAGCGCTTGCTGTGCGCCACCGGCCCCGCTCGCCTTCACTCACCCGATCCTTACAACCCGAGGCTTGAGACAGAGCAACCTGCTCAGAGATCGTGCTGCTAGGAGGCAGCCTGCTGGCTTCCACCCACTGCACCGGGCCATCCCGTCCTCCCAGCTGGATGCAGAGCCAACTCACCCAAGTCACCCCATGGGACAGCCGTGGTCCCAGGGCCACCAAGTGAGCACAAGAGAGGAGCGTGAGTGGCCACAGCACACCACGCCGTGGTCACATCCTGGAAACTTCCCGTTTTCTTCTGAACCGTTTCACCCCATCCTTTTTTTTCACTACAAAAGATGTACCAGTTTTTAACTAGCCCCTCCAGACCTGTTCTTCACTTCTGAGAGAGCAAGCCACTCCCCGAAGCGACCACAGCTTACGAGGAGCATTAATTCTTGGGTGTATTTTTAAGAAAAGAGCTTGGGCTCTGTGCAGGAGGGAGCTTTAAATTACTAGTTCACAACTGGGGGTGATTTTCCTGAGTGCGAAACATGTGGCAACACCTAGGGACACTGATGGCCACTAAGAATGCGGCACTGTGGTTACAGCACCAAGGCAGAGGCCAAGATGCTGCCTGACATCTACAGCAAACAGAAAGGCCACAGCAAGTGAGGTGGCCGACACGCCAGCTGCGCCATGGTACTTGAGCCCTGGGGTGGACTGAGCCCGCCTGGCTGGGAGGGGAGACCGAGCGGGCTCTGCTTGCCAGAGGCTGGGAGGTCAGGGACAACCCATTTCCGGCAAGTACTCTCCTGCTCTGAAAAGGTGGACTCTTGTCCATGCAGCATGGAAATTGGAGATGGTACCTGGGCCACAGATTTCAAAAATCTTTCTCACTGGATAAAGTTTTTCCAATTAGAACAAAGTTAGTCATAAATTAAAAACAGGGAACGATTACAGAAATGACCCCAAATGTTGGAGCCCACAGTCCCACTTCCTGGAGATGGCTGCTAATGATTTTGTGTCCTTCTAGGTTTTTCCTAGCTATACACAGGTGGGGCACCCCTCCCCTGAAAACCCCAAGTGCTTTCCTGTCTGAGAAGGCTTGGGTTTCCACTTTGGGGAGGAAGGATTTCTAACAGCACAGTCCACATGGGTATTGCTAAATCCCAAACACTTCTAACCCCAAGCATTTCGCAGGAAAGGGCCTTGTACATCACAGTTTATCTTTTTTTCCTCCTGCATCGTCTGTCCATGGCCCCCGGCTGGACATGCAGACCGTTTTAACCCAGCAGGTCCCCACCCATACACAAGTGGGAGACCCATGGTTAGCACAGAGCACCTTCCACCTTCTCCTCTGTGCACACGTATGTAGCTCTCAAAGTGTAAATGGTGGATTCAAATGATATAATGCTATCAAGACATCAGAATTATAAAGGGGTCTTTGATTAATAATTGCATATTCATGAACCAAGTCCTCGCAGCAACCGACCCAAGTGCAGAGAAGCAAAAGTTGCAGTGCACACACCTTCACTGAAGAGCTGACGTCTCGAGGAGTCTTCACCTCACTTCGGAAGCCTCTGAGTCCGGCACGCATCTGCCCTTTGGAGCCATCTTTTGCTGGTCTTTGTAAACATCAACAAATGATACAGTGTAGATCAACTGCAGCAATCAAAAGCCTTGCAAGTGATGGCGGATTGCATGAGGCTGATCAAAAAGTCAGAAAATTGCTCTAATCTCAAGCAAAGTTCATAGGCAAAGGGGCATATGAGGAGGCTTTCTTTCTGAAGGTGGTGGTACTGGCAGTTGAACCCAGGGTCTTTTTTATATTTTATTTTATTGTACTGATTTTTAAAATTTTATTGGTACATTTTATATATACATGAACAATCACTATCATCATATGGAAATTATACCTGGATTTTTTTTTTTTTTTTTTGAGACAGGGTCTCAATACACAATGCAGGCTGCTTTTGAAATATGAAGCTATGCTGGTCTCCAACTTGTGGCGATCATCCTGCCTCAGCCCCTCAAGTGCTGGAGTATGTCTCAAGTACGTCTGCCACACCCGCCTGAGGAGTGGCACTTACATAAATGATAAAACGGGCAGCAAGAGATTGAGGCCATATAGAAAAGGGATGAAAAAAAAAACCCCAAAACAACAACAACAAAAAAGAATAAAATGTCAATGTTTTGCGAAAGTTCCTCCATAGTTATGTTGAAAAAACAAAAACTTAATTTCACTTTTAAAAACATTTGAATCACTCTTTATTCATAATGCTTATTTAAAATTACGAACATGCTTTAATAACTTTGTTTTCATGGTAAAAGTCACAATTAACTGGACAACACAATCAGGTGGACAGTGGTATACATCTGACATCCTAGCACTCTTGGGGGCCTAGGCAGGAGGATCGGTTGAAGCCCAGCCTGCGTAACTTGGCCACTTAGGAAGTCCTGCCTCAAAAAATAGACCAGCTCCAGTCTGATTTCTTTTACCCCCTCATCCCACTGTATAGAACGACATTCTGGGCCCGTTCCAAGTAGGTTCGCCATAGGAGAGCTTTTCTTGGTGTGAGCTCCTCTTGGCTGCCATCTCCCAGCTCTGGTATTCAAGGGCAAAAGCTCCCTACCAGGCCCGTCACTGAAGCTACTGCTTCTCTGGTACTGTGCCAGGCTCTTTTTTCTCACCCTCCAGAGAAGTCGCCGGGAGTTGGGAGGGGTGACAGATGCCATTCCCAGCTATTTGGAAAGCCAAGGCAGGAGGATCATTAAATTCAAGGCCTGGCAAGCACAGGGTCCTGAGTTCAATCCCTGGTGGGGGGGGGGGGAGGATCAAGGCCAGCCTGAGCAATTTAACAAGGCTCTGTCAAAATAAAAACAAAAACAAAAACAAAAGGTCCTGAGTTCAATAGAGTAAGCGGGGAGGGAAGAGAAGTGCTGAAGGGCGTAGTAGTTCCGGTGCTCTTGCTTTAGTCTTCAGCTCCAGAGAATGCCACAGGGACAGGAACAGGGCCTGTGGCTGGTTTGCCTTTGATCTCGGCTGCTACTCCCAGATGAAAGCGCCAGGGCCGTGCAGCCCAGGACAAAACACCCAGCTGCAAGCTCTCAGTATCCTCCAGGCACTGGTGGGTGTCATCTGTGGGACAGAGAGGATCTTCATAGCACAGCAGCCCGGGCCCAAGAGCTCAGCCAGAAGAGGTGCAATCCTGTAGCTCTGAGGAGCATTTTCAAGGCCCATGAAGACATGACAAGGTCACCAAATACTTTTGCTTAAAGCCCTGCAAGCAGTATGCACTGATGTGCACCCACTACCCTTCTCAGTGGCAATTTAAAACCAGAACACATGGCTTACAGATGGTCTTTGGATGGCCAAGCTGAAAGGAACGTAGGCCTTGTTCTACAGAGCTGCAGAGCAGCTCTGTCTCCTACGCCCACACTGTCTCACCTGCTCACTTCCATGGTTGGGTTACAAGAGCAGCCACACACAGCCACACAGACGGTATGTAAACAAGTGAGTATAATTAAGTTCTAATAAAACTTTATTGATGGACACTAAGATTTTAATGTTACATTATTTTTCACATGCTACAAAAAATACTCTTCCTTTTCAATCTTTCAACCATTGAAAAATGTAAAAATTCTTTTTCAGCAGGCTCCACAAAGACAGGTGGTGGGCCATGTCTAACCCTGCCTGGGCCCCGCTCATAGCCAAGTGTAGGAACCCTGCTTCTTAATACCTGGCTTGTCTGTTTTCTGCTTTACTCAGCTGCTTCAAAGGCCCAGACTGTACTCACCAAAAACACATAGCTAAAAGCTCTATACATGTTTTCTAAATTTTAGGAATAGTAGAATTTGCCAGGTCACAGTTGGAAAATACTGATACAGTGCCATATTGTGGGTTAAATTAAAACAATCAAGAAAAAAAAATAACAAATTTGAGGGACTCACTGAATTTGAAAAATAGGCTTTATTTTAAACAGTGGTATTGTCTGACATCCTATATGGCGTAACTGATTACAGCCTGGTTCATTAATACAAATAAAATATCAGTTTCCCGCCGCCCCTGTCATTCCCTATCAGAGAATCAGGAGAAAGGAGCTCCTGCTCGGAATCCAAGGCGCTCTTCCTTGGCTCCAGCTCAGAGTCCAGGCTCCCAGGGCCAACGACTTCCTACTGTGTCCTTGGCCATGTGCAGAGACCTTTCTAGAAGGACATTCAGGTCGGGATCCCGACAGGCAGTCACACCAGCACTCACGCTGCGCATGGCTGCTGACGTCACCTGGCCGAGTCTGGGGAGGATCACGGCTGCTGTCCCTCAAGGGACAGGGTCCCAGGTGAGGGGGTGTACCCTCAGCCTTCGGGCTCAGGTCCTAACCCTGTCCCTCTGGAGCGCACAATAGAGAATGGTGATGCCTTGGCCTAAGTATACGATCTGTCACACAGCCAGCTCTGGCATTGGCTTTGCACTTTTTTATTAACACAAAAATTTAAATATATGAGCCCTCATGTAGCACAAAATGCATGAAGTTCAGAAAGTCATGAAAGCAATTCTTCTCCACCCGAGCACATTTCATTTTTACAAAGGTGAACATACAAAATAGTAAATTTGCCTTTTCTTCTTGTCAAAAGGAATCACACAGTCAAAACATACCTGTGACGTAGAAAATTTTTTTTCTTCCCAAACCAAGATCAAAAAACCAAAAATCAATGTTAAGCTGCCAAGAAGACCCTTTCCATAGAGGGGTGGACAAGACATGGAGAAGTGGAAAAGACACGCTGCGACTTTCTCAAAAAACCCTTATTCCGAGGAAGATAGCAAAAGGAACTTCTGACCTCACAAGCTTTTACTTTTCCACTTTAATTTTCATCATTTCTTAGCACTGGGAGTGAGGATAACACCTTACTTCCCAGAGTTTGGAATCTCTCTGGGCAAAGCCCCGATCTTCATGATAGCTCCCCAGAAAGTTTGCTGAAAAATTCAATGACAAGAATGAAAACGCCACCCATCTAGGCAGCCCTCCTTTTTCACATCAACAGCACCTGGAACATCAAATGTGTTCGACAACAGTGCAGGGGCTGGAGAGGCAGAGTTCCCTTCCCCCCAGCACCAGCTGAGGTGACATGGGGCTGGATCGACTGGAGAAACCCTCCCAGGCAGGCTCGCTTAACCTAGGGGACCCTGGGGAGAAAAGGACGGCAGCTGCGCGTGGTCAAACAGAAAGGCGTGCAGCACACAGCCTCACGGTGTAGGAGTAGACAGCGCAGGGAGTGCACACTGACAGCAGGAGCCTGTGCGTGTACGTGCATTCCAAGGGCAATACTCAGGAGCCCTCCGCGGCAACAGTTGGCAAAGGATGCACATCCACGCATGCGCAGACATGGCCACCTCTAAAGGCTGTCGGGTGACTTCCGGCTCAGCGACTTCTGGCTCACAGTGGCCACCCAATGGCCCTGCTACTTGCCTGGCTCAGTGCTCAGCAGCTGCAGTCTTGGAGCTGGCTACACTGACTTCTCTCCTCTTAAGGCACAGACATATTTACAGGATATTTCAAACATCCGTCAAGTTCTGAGAACCACACTGAGCAAGTCCATCACTGGCTCGAGCACAGAAGCCGGCTGGTCCTCTCGGCTGAACACATGGCTGGGGGAACCTCTGCAGACCTGAAGTGGCCGGAAAGTGGGCGCCCTCACTGTGCACTGTGGTGTGCAGCCAACACCAGAAAGGCAACGAGGCTTTCCTTCACAGGGGACAGAATCCCAGGTACAGGCCCCCGGGAGAGGCCTGAGCGGCAAAAGCGTAACTGGGGTGGGGGCCTTTGAGAGATTTTCCTTCGCATGTGACACATTCCTAACAAGATGGCAGCTCTTGTCTGCCCGAGTCAGGAGAGGCTGCTGTGAGCATCCGTAACGCCATGTAATGTCACTGGGATCACAACTGCTCTCGGTATGCTCCTATCCTTCCACGAAGACAGACATGCACATGCACACACACACACACACACACACACGCATGCTGCGCGTGCACACACACGCACCCCTTCCACCATGGAGGAAATCTTTGCAACAAGAGGCACTTGAATGAGATTTGGAGAGTTCCCATGAAAAGGCCTTCCCCTCACAGTGAGGTGGGCTCGACAGGACACAGACCAGGCGCTCAGGACTCCATCTCTTCTTGGTCAAGGGGTGGTGGCACAAAGCTGATGACTTCATCGTAGGTCAGGCCTGGAAGTCAGGAAGGAAAATCACATGTCAGAGTTCAGACTCTCTGCTGGCCGCACTCTGACTGCTAAGCTCACGCTCCTCCTGGCCAGGCTAGTGCTGTGAAGGGCTGCCTCGAGGGACCACCACGTTGCCACTGTGTAACGCCCACGTGGGACACAGGACTACACAGAGGTTTGAGGATCCATGTAAACAACCCCCTTTTTCTCATTTTCCTTACCACTGAGTGCCTCCTCTTTACAGCTCTCTGGACAAAGTGCTCAAGGATAATGGAGCACTCGAGGCGGAGGCCAAGGGAGTCCTGGCTCTGGGGATTTAAGTTCTGCACTTGCGTTTTAAGGAAAGAACACGAGATCGGGCATGGGAGATGTAGATTCTGTTCCTGACTACATTCCTGACTAGGTCTAAAGTAACAGATAAAATACAAACTCTCCTCGCCTCAATTCTATCAACTGTAAAACTATAAAATGCCCTACTCACTACTTATCTCAGACAGGTGTTGCAAATGCAAAAACTCCAGAGAACCTGAAAGCTCTAGCGGATGTGAAGGGCTGTGCACAAAATCAGACCACACATAAGCATCTCAAAGGTCCAGAGAGTCGTCATCTATAACAGACAGATTCCATTAGAGGAGCATACTCAGCCTACAACACCCCAACTGCAGTGTTAGTGAGCTGGTCGGAACCACTTGATATTTTTCTACTGGGTTTGGTTAGTGGTTCACACAGACAAGGTTTCCTTTCCTTTTATTTTTATTTTTGAGACAGGGTCTCACTATGCCATGCAGGCTAGCCTTGAACTCACTATGTAGCCCAGGCTGGCCTCTAACTCAAGGCAATCATCCTGCCTCAGCCTCCCGAGTGCGGGATCATGGGTGTATGCCTCCATACCCGGCTAGAAAAAATTTTTAAAGAGGAGTTCTCAAGGTGCATGTTAACAATGCCCTTAGGACTTACTTTTCCATTCATCTATGAGGAGGTCCCTGCTTTCAAAGGATTGATCGTAGGGATCAGCCACTGGCTCATCATCGGGATCGTGGTACTGAGCAAAGTAGGCGTGTGCCAGGGCTTGGGCCGCTGTGATTCTCTTATCCGAATCCAACACAAGCATCTTCTCCAGCAGGTCAACAGCTATCGGCAAGGCGGGTCAGAAGGAAAAATGGACAGGTTTTAACACGTTACAAAAAATAATGCTATAGTAATAATGTACAGTTCTGACCCTTTGTGCCCAAGAATTCTCTAAAACCTCTGCTCTAGGATATATTAACCCTGCCCCACTTCGTGTGTGCATGTGGGTGGTTTATATATTTTTTTAAGAAAATAGCTGGGCACCGTGCTTGTGATCCTACCAAGCACTGGCATGTACAAGGCCCTAATTTCAATCTCCAGGACGAGTATTAAAAATATATATATATGGTTTAAGTACTGTGTACTAACTGACTGTGCCACTGGCACTCCAAGAATATGTTGATTATTAAAGAACTGAAAATAAAAACTAAAACACTAGGATTCTGTTTGAACAAACTTTCTGTAGAATATCAAACTGCTACCACTATAGCTGAATCAAAATGTAAACCAACAGCTGAAGTAATCCAATAATCTAGGAATTTTTTTTTTCCTGGTTCTCTTCCACTGGCTAATTACTACTATAAGGATAAATAAACATTCATTGAATAGATCTTCAGTCAAGGAACAAAAGAAAATTTTTTTCCACAGGGATGTACAGGAGATGCTGTGTTGGGATAAAACAAAATTTTACTTCTAAAAACTTCATTATGAGAACTTGACCAAACATTTTATATTTATATGTATTTTTGAACTGTTTTAAAATAATATTATAAAATATGTCACTTTATACTCTAAATACTTTAGCACAAAGACATCTTTCCATACAATCACAATATTTTTAGTACACTTGCCAAACAATTGCCAAATATCATTTAAAATTCTGTTCAGTTAAAATTTTTCTAAGTATGTCCAACTTGTCTGTTACAACTTGTATCTTCAAACGCCACACATTTGATTTGGTTTCTTTAGCCTCAATCTTGAATAATCTTTAATATGCTTTTTCGTGATTTTGACCTGAAAAGATATTCCAGTTGTCTGGAAAAAAACTCTTCGTTAAGAATTGTCTGGCTGTTTCGAATCCAGGGCTTTTGCATTATAATAGCAACAACCTACCCCTCCCCCTTTTTGAGACAGGGTTTCACTAAACCGCTAAATCGTGCAACTGGGTTTGAATCTGCAACTCTCCTGCCTTAGCCTCCCAGAGTGCTGGGATTACAGATAGGCACTACCGCATGTGCTGACTTTTACCCCCATTCCGGGGATTGAGCCTAGGGCCTCTGCACTAAACTGGGTCCCTAGTCCTTTTAAATTTTTTAAATTTTATTTTGAGGCAGGGCCTAAGTCTCCCAGGCCGGACACGAGCGTCAGCCTGACATTCTGGTTGCCTCTCTGTTCATCACGTATCTGCGTACACCTCTGCGTTCCTCTATCCCGGATTTCCCGAGTGAGGTAAGAATCAGCTGGGGTAATTCTGGCACGAACACATCAGGATGACACACGTCCTTCACGGTGTGTTATAGCCATTTGTCTCCCTGTTAAGGTGCTAAATGTGACCAGTGGGTTAAGAGGGGTTTTTTCCTGGTACCAAGACTTGAGCTTGACCTCACACTTGCCAGGCAGGCAGGCAGGAGCTAAACCCCTGAGCTAGCTCCCCAGCCCCAACATGTTTTTCCTTTTGTTGCAAGCAAATAACCTGGGGCTATCTTGGCACCAGCTGAATACCAGCTTCTTTCAATTGGGACTTTTAGCACCACTGATTTTCCTTCCCAAAAGCAACAGTTTTGGTGGGAATTACAGAAATGGCAGTTTTCCAGTCCCATCTTCTGGTGGGGCCGTGCTTAGAGGAGGGACACTGCCTGCCACATCGTTAAGGTGTGAGGGATGAGGTACATGGGAAGAGGAAGCCTGCTGAAGAGCAAGCTGAATTCCAGCGTGACCCACGGGAGACACCCGAGTTCTGGGGAATCAGAAACAAGCAGGCCAGGCATAGTGACACACGCCTGCCACCTCAGCACTTGGGGGCTGAGGCAGGAGCGAGTCTGAGGCCAGCTTGGGTCACATATACAGGCTCAACAACAGCCTGAATTACACAGCAAGAACCCATCTACAGACAAAAAAAAGAAAGAAAAAAAAAAAAAAAAAAAGAAACATGATCAACCAACATGTTGACTGAAGTTCCTAAGTTTACACCTCAGCACACTGGGAAAACTGCGGGACAGATACTCTCTTCCAGGAAAAACACACCTTTCATCTGTTTGGCTTATGAATGAACGTCTCTTATGTGATGGGCCTGAGGTGAGAGGTGAGGAAGGGACTTTGCAATGATCTTGACAGATGTCAACACACATCAATATCAAAGGGACACTGGAGTTTTAATTCAAGTTTTGAAGGTAACAGTAAATGGAAGCTGGTGACTGACACACACTCCTAACATTTCTGTCACTGGAGCGCTGCTGCTGGGCTCAAGCTGGTGGCCAGTACGTTGAGCTCTGGCTGTCAACCCGGACACGCTGGGACATCACCACTTGGCAGTGGACTGCCAGGCCCATCTGGACTGAGACCAAAGTGTCTGCTCCACGTGTTAGCAGTCTCTACTGCTGGGTGTACTGAGTTCTTGTCAGTGTGAAACGTGAATGGTTCCAGAGCATGGGACACAGCCAAGTAGGTGTCCTCCACGAGCCGCAGGAACACACATCTCCCACCCCCCCAGAAAGGAGTATAGGTCTTCACGAGCCTGTGACTGCGGAGTCAGCAGGCAGTGCCATGTCTAGGGCCAGGGCTGGGATCTCCAAGGCGGCCCTTGGGCACAGCACGCAAGCCACACAGAGCCCCGAGCGCGCAGCCCAGGGCAGGGGCAACCTGAAATCAGTTCCTGCAGAAGCCTCTGCACCTCTGAGGGGCCTGTGGACCTGCCAGGGACGTGAGTGTGACCCAGCTAGGATCTGCCACATGGTGCGTCCTCAAGGCTGGTGCAGATTCACCTACCGCTGCCCAGAGCACAAATTCTCACAGCAACACCCAGTCTCTTCATAGTCCTTGCGGATAAAGCTCTTGAAGAGCTAAAACTACCTCAGCCTTTACCCAGCTTTTCAGGAGGTCACTCTGGCCACCAGCCCTCTGAAGCTCACACTTAAGCTGAAGTGGAGAGGACCCGGGTAGGGTCCCGCCTGATCCTTCTGGGCCTGCCTCACTGCCCACCAGCCCTCTACAGCCGGGGCCTCTGAGCCTCAGCGGAGTGCGCCACTGGAGCCCTGCCCCAAGGAACGACCAGCTCTTCTGTAAATTCCCCTGGCCAGGGACCGTGGAGGTGACGGGGACAGCCGTGCCTTTAGGTCTGAGGTGGGAAATTCTGTGCAAAAGGAAGATGGCTTAGCCTCTGAGGGAAGAAGAGCAGGAAAGCGCGTCACTGTGAGGGTGACAATGACAGGACCTGCCGCATCCACACAGCTGCCGGCAGAGCGGTGCATGTGGGAGCTCTGTGGGGAGCCGCTGAACACCCACCGGTGCTTTGGTGCCTGCTTCCCTCTGCTCGGGACACTGTAAATCCACAGCAGTTGCACGACTCACAGCCCACCTTCTGAACCTCTTTCTCCGGGCTTTCCTAGTCTTTTCTCCCAATTTCCCTGTTATTTTCCCTTTTCTTTACCATATCAGCCTATTTCCCCACCAAATCCTGTGATCATATTGTACACTTGTCACTCGGCTTTAAAAACACCCCCAACACTACACACACAGATAATAAATGCCATTAATTACCACATTCCAACATTTAAATAATGGTGCCCTATTTGGTCAAAAGGAAAATCATCTTCAAATCCCTGTTGTAGTCACAGCCAATTTAATGCCACAAAACGAGGACAGGCAGTCAACTTACCCAGGGGATTGGCACCAATAAATACGTTTGCAAAGTTCATCTTCGGCATCTGGGTCAATGACTGAATATAGTTTCTTGCCTATAAAAACAAGAGTTTTCAGAATGACACGGTTTAAGTGTTACTGTCTTCAGAGGCTGGAGTCTATGGAGAACAGAGAAAAATGACAAAGTCCCCTTATCACCCCCATGTCAGTGACCATCTTATTTCTCCACGGGAGACTTTTCTCTTACTGCCAACCTGACTCCTGTATTTAGGACCAGCATCTTTATCCCTGCAGTCTCTCACAGTTATAGTTTACATAAATGAGACTGCTAACCAATTAAGTTCAATAGCTTTCTGATTATAGAACCAGGTATTTAAAAGCATCGGTTGGTCAAGATATCTAAGAAGTAGCCCTTTGGGAGGAATCCTCAGCTGCCATCTTTTTTTTTTTTTTTTTTTAAAGAGCTATAAAGTGGGAGAGCAGTTGTACCCAAATGCAGTCAAGAACGGAGCAGGACAGACACGTGGCGGCAATCCTTTCTACTCAAGCACATAGATAAGAGGAAGGAGACAGAGAAGTCGGAAGACCTTTTAACCCAGAGAACAGCAATCATGGAAATAAGGTTAAATGCAAAGACTGCTGAGGTACAGCAGAAGTCTTACAGAGACCAAGTTGCTGGAAAGGGCCTCTGTGATAGCCACTACGCTCGTCTGTCATAAATATTAAGGGTACCTTCAAAAGAGGTGTCCCAGTCACCTCTGATCCTGAAACTAGGATTGGGAGAGAAAGCGCCTAGCCCTGCCTAAGTGTTTTCATAAAGACTCTGTATTATTTATGTCTCTGCTTTTAAATATACTACACCCAGTAGTATTGGGTGTTTTATTTTCCTTTTAATGAAAAATCGTTTTTGGCATTACAATAAAAAAGGGAAGCATGCTCATCCCCTCCGGTGAACTCCACCCCGGTCAGATGAGCACACCGGTGACCACAGGCTCAGCCCTGGGAGGGACAAGCATTCCCTCCAAAGCCACGACGTCCAAGGAGCAGCGCTTGCTGCTTACAGGCTGATGCTATATTTGCAGTCTCACACAGAGGACGACACTTTATCCCCCACGTCAATGGCCTGCCACAGCACGGAGGTGGTCACTGTCGTAGCCCCCCGGGCACATGCAAGCATTCAGGGATGCTCCACACTGTGGTTAGACAGAGGCAAGGACACGAGACGCGGCCATCTGAGTTAGCCGCCCCGTGCAGCCCGTCTGTTGGCGCTCACCTCATGGCTTGGCATTCTGTTAATGAGATAAGCAGGGGGTGTCCCCGTCAGACGCATAATCTGCTGAAGCTGGTTAATATCTTAGATGCCTGGTCAAGGGCGTTGTTAAACATACGGTGCAGAAAATAACTTTCAATTCAAATTAAAAAAAAAAAAAAAAAAGATCAAAAAGCTACCCCCAAACAGAATAAAAGCTCTACTCTCCCCCCCCCAGCCCAGGTCAGAGCTCAAGGCTGCACATGACGGCATGCTTTGGTGAGGGGCAGGCGTTAGTAGCCACGTAACCAGTGAGTGGTCATGCGGATAAGAAAAATTAGTTTCCTTTGGTTTTAGTATCATTTTACTGTTAAATGTTTTAGGATCCCTGCAAACACATAGTTCTTTGATCCAGGATGCCAGCCAGAGAACTGTTTTCAAGTTCTGGTGGCCAAAACTGGTTCGCCTGAAGGGTGAATATAAAGGACTTGGACTCAGCTTTGGACAAAATAAAATATCCAACAGATCCATTCCGGAAGACATTAAATTTCTGTGGCACAGGTTCTGCAAGGAACCCGCTCTCCAAATCAAGACGCAAGTGGGAGTGGGGGTCGAGAGGCAATGCCATGCGGAGACATCAGCAGAGCGCGGGTCAGACATGTGCCACGAACATAGAATGGCAGCTGAGAAAGAGGCGGGTGGGTGGGCTAGAGGCCAAGGGCAACGGCCCAGCTGATGGCACGACACAGCCACCAGCAGCAGAGCGCATGCCCGATGGTCGCTTCGCTATCTCACAGTGAACAGGTCACTTAACTAAGAGCTGGGGCAAAGAGCACCAAACATCCTGAGATTATCTTGCAAGGGCAGAACTATGAAGTTTTTCTTCTGTGCCAGCAGGGAAGCAAGTTGCCCTCGAAATTCTTTTTACTGAGTCAATATATTACCATAACACCCCCACCCTACAGAACTGTTCGTTTATCATGCATTTGTACTGAAAGAAATATTTAAAAAATCTTCAACATAATTTAATAATCCCCTGTTGTATTCTTTTTCTTTCTTTCTTTCTTTTTTTTTTTGCAGAACCGGGGATTGAACTCAGGCCCTTGCACTTGCCAGTGAAACGCTTATTCTACTGAGCCATCTCCCCAGCCCCTGTATTCTCTTTCTTGTCAACAGTTCCCTCCTTCGGCTGAAGCATTACCTTCCCTACACACCACGGCCCAAGCAGTTCACGTCTTCGTGGTTTCCCCAGTCACCTTTCCACTCTGGCTCGTCCTTGATGGCGCTCCCTACATGTCCCAGGCTGCCTGGGGATGAAGCTGCAGCCATGTGCTCCACTGTCTCTCCTGCTCTGTAAGCCCTGAGACAGAGCCCAGCAAACTCAAAAGGGGGTGGTTTCTTATGTTTCAAAGTGTCTTCCCCAAGTCGTCAGTATCCAGAGGTGGGGTCTGGAGGAAGACTGGCTCATGGGGAGACCGCACTCCTCAATAGGTGAATCTGTGAATGAGGTCAGAGCCGAATGCTCGCAGGAGCGGGTGCCCACCTCGGGCCAGTGGGGCCAAGGCCTGGAACGGCTCCTGCTCCGCCGGTGGGTCAGTCACTAGCTCTCTCCACTTCCTGGCTGCCAGCCGCTGAGCAGCTTTTCTCTGCCAGGCCGTTTCTGCCTTGCAGCCAAGCAACCACGGACTAGGCCCTCTAAAATCAGGAGCCAAAGTAAACCTCTTCTCCTTCAAGTGGCGTTTGTCGTCACGTATTTTGGACCAGCAAAGGGCAAATCACTAAAGGAGCTCTTTCAAAAACTCTTCAGAGTTCCTTTAACACTCTTGCAAAAAAGTGTCTATTTCCCTTTAAACAAACTCCTTACCAAGCAGTACTTTGCATGTCAACAGAAATACCAGAGCAAGTTTACAAAGCAAATAAATCTCCAGTGTAGTTAACTGCTCCAGCTTTAAAATGTTTGGGTCCTGCTGGCTTTCCCTTTCTGCTGAGCAGTTCTTGGCCTCTACATGTGCTGATTTTGCCTCCTTTAGTCAAATAAGTGATTCTATCCCCTTCCTGTCAGGAGGTCAGGAAGATTCTATTTCTAGAGACAGGAGAGTCAGGCCCTCGCTTCTTTCCTATTCCTTCACGTAGTACAGGTGCCAGGACGGCGAGCAGCCTCCGGGCCTCCGGCATCCAAATGACCTCGCAACCCCCAGCTGTCCCCACGCTGCCTTCTCTTGCACACAATGTCCCACTGCTTGTCAAATGCCTTTCCTCGCAAATGCCGACCTCGGTCCTTTTTGGGGGCTATGAAAACAGCTGCTGGCTTTCTACTGGACTTCTTCACTAACGACTTTCTTAACTTTAAAAGCCTTTGTGCAATCTCATTTACCTGGCTTTGTTAGTTCCCTGTTCTGTATACCACACTACCATGTGCTTTTCAGACTAATGGATATTTGGACAGTGTCACAAACAAATGAACCTTGCAGACACTTGTGAATACTAAAAGCTACTTTTCTCCACTCACCACAACTAGGGAGGAAAAACACCCCTCCTTGGCATCCCCATACTCGACACAGCATGATGCACGTGAGCTCTGCCGCTGTACGTGGTATCCTTTCACGCAGCGCTGCACCAGAGCTGTCGGGACACCAGACGGCCCTGCGCCACTGCACAACTTTCAAGGTCATGCCCCCAGAGCTGTTTCCTCCTTATAAATAAACAACAGGTAGCGACAAATACTACTTGCCCACACTAGGCATTTCAGAGCTGCGGGTGACAACAGCACACACCTATGAGGCAGGTGGCTGGGGTGGGAGTGAGGACAGAGAGCTGAGGCTGGGAGTTGCTCCCCGACAAGGAAGGATTCTGCCATCTCACCTCAGTCTCACTGGCACCCCCACTCACTAGCTGAGCTCCCTCCCAACCCTCCCTCTGCCCCCACGTCCTGAGAAAGCCAATCTTCCTAAGCCAATGCACTGAAATAAAAAACAAAACAAAAGTAAAAACAGAAAGAGAAAAAGAGGGGCCGGGGAGATGGCTCAGTAGGATAGCACTTGACTGGCAAACACAAGGATCTGAGTTCAATCCCCGGTTCCGGAAAAAAAAAAAAAAAAAAAAAAAAAGAAAGAAAGAGAAAAAGAAAACACAAACAAAAAATACCCTGCTCTGCTTAACACCTTCTCTCCTATCTTCTTTCCTCACCCTAATCCAGCTTCTGCAACTCCGAAAGCAACAGAAAACATTTCTTCGGAGTGACTTAGGTCAGTAACTCTGACAATGGCTTTCAAGAGGGCATGCAATCGCAGGAGAGTCATTAGATCATGACGGCAGGACATCTGGGAGGATACTCAGCTCTGCTGAGTGACTCAGCGCATGACTAGGGCAAGTTACAGCTCTGCTGCTCTGGCTGCCCACTCGTAAGTAAACGAAACAAGAAGAAATAGGGCCAGCACACCCCTTCACACCGATGAGTAGGAAGTAAAAGACCACTCTGGGCTCCATGGTCCTCCTCAGAGATGCAGGCTGTCTAGTAGGGGATGGTGACCATTCAGACTCACCTGCTCACCTGCCCCAAGCCACCCAGCGGTTGTCCTGACTGGGCAAAGGGCCTCTCTGTCAGACAGCTGGAAGGCGCACTGACGAGGCACAGCTGGAGCTTGGCTCCGCAGCTCTTTTTCCTCTTTGTCCAACTGCTTGGCCGCAGACAGAGGGAAATGAGCTCTTGTGGCTTCTCTCACGTCTCTGGCCCACGTGAACAACCCACAGCAGGAGACCATAGCCAGAGTAAGCCGGAGTCACATTCTCATGGCTCCCGTCTGCATCCCTGTGGCAGGGCAGGAAGGCACTAGCTCCAAAGCCCTCTCTCTGGCTGTGCAGCGAACTGGGATCACCAAGGAAGGCTGGTGACCACACTGCACTCCCGTGGGGCCGGGGTAGCAGGAGTTTTCCTGTGTGGTCGAGGGCTTCGGGGCTTGGAGGCCTGGCCAGGGGCAAACACCTTCTATAGGATGTATGGGCTGTCTAATCCTAAAATAATGAAAAGTCAGTGACTTTTGGAAAGGGGCAATAGTGTGTAGACAATGCACGCCCACCTTTTAGTGATGAAGTTAGACTAACACAGTGTGCAGTTCACGTTCTCAGATCTAACACTAACCAACAAGCGTGTGTGGGTGGAACTTTTTTTTTTTTTTTTTTTTTTTTGTGGAACCAGGGATTGAACTCAGGCCCTTGCGCGCTTACCAGGGAAGCGCTTATTCCACTAAGCCATCTCCCCGGCCCTGGGTGGAACTTCTAAAAAAGATGAAGTCAGGGCTGGAGGACAGACACAGATTTCTCGTTAGTCTCTTGCAATGATCTGGAACCTCCAGTCTCGTTTTCACTAGGCTACTCCTGCCCAAGAGAGGCTCCCGTGAGCAAAGTGCATACCCAGGTAGAGAGAACACCACACAGGACACGTGCCCACGCACACGCCAGGCTCAAAGGACAGACTGAGGGGAGGCAGGTGGCAGAGGCTCCCCACAGGGCAGAGAATTACAATCAAAGCATCAACTCACAGACTCTGAGGAGATTTTCTTCAAAAGCTCAGCCCCTGGGGTTCCAACGAGTCTTAAAATGAGCTTCAACTGATCAATATCTAATGGTGGACTATAAAGGAAAATGTTGGGACAAAATAAAAATGAAAAAGCAAACAATAACAAACAAAAAGGAAACAAAAACAAACAAAATATCCCAAGAATGAAAATTAACAACCCAAACCAAGCCAGCATGGTCAGATCATCTAAGTCAAGGCGTCTGCAGGACGATGGTCACTTCAATAGGTCGGGCTCCGCCTGTACAAGGGTCCAAAGTGCAGCTGCACACGCACCCGCACGCGCAAACACACGCACACACACACCCGGGGGTCATTCTGCATACCAGGAAAGACAAGCACCTTCAGCCAGGTTTTAGCTGCCGAGGCTGCGGGCAGAAACCCACAGGCCCGCTCACCTACCTCTTCACCGTTCACCAAAGCGTCAGCAAGTCAAGCAGGGAGCGCTGGAAAGCACAGAGCTCCAGAGGAGGAAAAGCGGCAGAACACAGGAGAGAGGGAGGTGGTCAGTCTGCATTCACCTGTGCTTGCCCCATCCCGGGCAGACCACGGTGAGCGAAATCTGCCGGCAGAGGGCGCTCTGCACTGCGCCTTCTCGCAGGAGGCCGTAACAGCAGCTGAGCTCGGGAGGTTTCCGCCTCATAAAATGCAGAGAACGCTTGGCGAATTTCACTCATCCTAGGGGCTCTTGATAGGAAGCCACAGTGCCCGAAAGCTTCCGGTGGCCGACACTTCCGTGCATACTCCGAATGTATGTGCATGTACTAACCAAAACTGTTTTCCATTTGTTCTCAATGCTTTGAGTCTTGCCTTAAAAAAAATTACAAAAAAAGGGGGAAAAAAGATCCAATAGTTGATCCGTATCTACGATACTGTGGGGGAGCACGGGGAGGGGAGACTGACCACTCGATCAGCTCCTTCTCAACTCAGGTCCCAGCTGATACTTCTGTCCTTGAGAGGCCTCCCTCTCACTCCTCCCCAGCACACCGGGCCTGCTCTGCTCTCTGGGCACCAGCCCGATGGCATCTCAGTGCTGTCTGTCCTATCCACTGCTCTGCAGCTCTATCCACTGCTGGGCCACCGCCTGTCCCCACCAATCCAAGTGCTTAGCATGACCTCTGGCTCATCAGGGGCATGCAGACTCTCCGAGAACACAGAACTGGATGGAAAACTTTTTTTTGTTTATGATTATATGTATAAAAGCGAGATGACGCAACTGAAAAACAATGGCCTCTGCAAGCCATAGCTGCCCACGCTACAAGAATTACTTATGCAATGAGATGACTGGCATCTTGCCTTACTTTGTTTTTCAGAAATGAAATCTACGTGAAATGGAAGAAAATTCTCGACAGCAGTCAGTTAACACCAGCGTGCTGCCTGTTTTATCTGCACCACTGTACTGGGACACAGCCACGCCCGCTCACTTACACACTGCTGTGCACAGCAGCTTTCACAACACACCCCGCAGGGTTACAACAGAAACCTCCGGTTCCGAGAGCCTGACATAGTTCCTTCTGGCCCTTTACGAGAAGGTGTGCAAACGCCACACCGGACCTGAACTGTGTCCTGCGGAAAACAAAGACACAGCAGAAGCACGTCCACTCATGCAAGTGACTTCGAAAGTAAGAAGAGTTGAAAAAAGTCTTCTGCAAAAATCAGTGTGTTCTGAAGGGTAAAAATTCATTCAAGACAAGGACAAGATACACTTTTTTAAGCATACATTCATGGGGACAGAGTAGGACTGGAGTAAGATGGATTTTGTTGTACTCTAACGTTCAAATCCATTATCAGTCAAGGGTCTTCTTTGTCTGTTTACAATAACTCAATTTAGGGGCAGGGCGATAGCTCAGGGCAACCTGCCTGGCAAGTGCAAGGTCCAGAGTTTGATCTCTGATACCAAAAAGCATATGTAAAATTACTCAATTCACAACAACGTGGTTCCCTCAGAGTCTCCAGAAGCTGTAAGGAGGAAGGTACCTCTGTTTCCTACGGGAAAGTCCAGACCGCTTTAGTTTTCCAAAAGGTGGTCTGACAATGTAGGCATCAAATGAGCCCTCCAATAAAACTGATGAAATTGCCGTTGTTTTCCAGTCTTCTCTGTGACTACTTGAAGAGGAAACTCAAGTTTTAACCCAGCCCCGAGGATGACAGAACCTCCTTGACCCATGGGCTTCTCAGCTGCCTCGCGTCATCCCCCCCTGCCTGGAGAATGCACCGCTCCCACCGGTGACAGGGGCTCCCCGTACCTCAGGGAGGTGGCGGCCTAGATCTTCCTATGTCTAGCTACCAGTACAAAGCCAATCTTACCCTGCACAATCAAACCCCAGTTCCTCAGCCTCGCCTCCTCAGGCCCAGATCTGACGTGCAGCTTCTTGTCCGACCGAGCCTCTGCCTCCCACATTGGGATGCACACACAGAACACCCTGGCACCTCTGCGTTTCCCAGCTCTTGCAGATGTGTGCTGCGAACAAGAATACCATCCGCTGCCCCTCAGTGCCTAGCCTTTTCCCTTCCTATGAACCCGCAAGATCCAAGCTAAACAAGAACTCTGCTGTGGAGGCTTCCTGAATTTCTTGAGTTTGAATTAATTCTTTATTTTCAAAAATGGCTCCATTCCAGGAGTTTTTAATCACTCTGCGCTACGCAAATCCTGTAAGTCACTTTCCACTCTGTCCCCTCAGCCTCTGGAGAGCCGCTGCTACCCCACCCTCAGGGCCCTCCCGGGAACGGGCAGCTGAGCCCTGGCTGAGAAAAGACTCGCTGCAACACGCTTTTCAACTTCTCCTACACCACCACCTGGCCCTGGAGACCCAGAGCAACCATATTCTATGAAAAGTCTACAGACCAAAAAGGAGCCTGGAAAAGTTGCTTCGTGTAATTTCAGGCTTCAAGAACTTCTAGACACCCTATTCTCAAATGACTATACCATAAAGAGCACACAATTACAGCGCTGTGAGCGTGTATGGGCCACGGACAAAGACAGCCAACATTTACAAGCTTAGGACACAGACAGAATGAAAGAAAAATCTACTGAGCAGCTAAGAGCACCTGCGTGGAGATGTGAAAGTGTGCCAAGCTCGGCAGACATCACCACGCGCTCGCTGAAAGCCCACAAAGCCCCCGAAGACTGGAGCAACCCAAGCCAAGCCAAGCCAAATTTACTACAGTGCGGCACAGCGATTCTGCAGCAAGCTGTCCCCTGCAAGGGCTCACCCCTTTCTTCCTTTGGTAGAGGATATTTCTGTTAGTTTAAAATGCATTTTTATTGTAATCACAACTTCTCTTTTTGGTGGGGAAGTACTGGGAATTGAACTCAGGACTTCATGATTGCCAGGCCAGTGTTTCTACTGCTGAGCTACATCCCCCGTCCTCTACAATCTCAGGCTGACCTTAAACTCACTCTGTAGCCCAGGCTGGTCTTGGATCACAGGCTTCCTCCTGCCTCAGCCTCCCAAGTGCCAGGATTACAGGTGTGTACCACCATGGCTGGCTAAATTTTAAAACCATAAATTTCCAGGGCCTTTCTAAAAGCAATGAAGAAAAGCACAACAAATCAGGTCTGAGATTACTTTTTAGATCAACCTTTTTGTAACACAAGCAAATGGTAGTCAGGATGAATAGATAAGGGGAAAAAATGAGAAGTAGTAGAGCAAAGTGAAAGAGGGCTATTCCCGTCACTCTGAAGTGCTCTAAAAGTTCTTGAAGATCCCCACAGGCCAGCCAGGTGGGTAGCTGGCGATGGCAGGGCCTGCCTGCTCACGGGCAGCAGCTTTTCTGCTGGTGTCTGAAACAGCAGGAAGCCATCCTGGCGACAGACACCGAGGGCTGGAAAGAAATCCATCCTATTCCCTTCTGTTCTGGGTTGTTAAAATAGTCATTTTCATTGTCACACATAAAAAGCTTCTTACCGTCGCCCAAGTTTGTTGACAAACCTGAGAATTCTAGTATTTTGTGGGCAGATGCTCAAGTTAGAGAAGAAATTAAGTAAATAAATCAAATGAAGTATTTTTTCTTTCTCAACATTAAGATACTTGCCTGTAGGAAAGGTAAGATAGACAGCGTCTACAGGGAAACTGCTCTTTTTAGAACAAGCATGTGTGAAAGCAACAACCAACAGCCACGGCAGAGGAGACAAGAGGCTCACGTTTCATCTCGTCATCTAGGCAGAGTGGACCAGGCCTTCATTAGACCGTCTGTATCTTGTGATGTGCCTGGGACACTTCATTAGCTCATGTGGGAAAGATCAAAAGCAGAAATGCGTAATAGGAGAATTAAAGAGCCAATTTACAAGCCAAGGCTGTGCTCTCTGGGAGAAACACTGCATCTGGCACACTAGCGGGGCTGCGAATCTCATTTTCTTTTTTCTTTGGCACAACCAGGGATTGAACTCAGGCCTTTGCGCTTGCCAGGAAGGCACTTACTCTACTGAGCCATTTCCTCAGCCCCAAGAAATTTTCTTTCTTGTGTATGCTGTGGGGTCAAGAATCTGTGACAACATTTTCTGACTCATGTCCAGGTCCATGGCATCGAAGTAAGTTAGCCCAACACCTCAGAGGCAGCCCATCCACTGCCTCCTTCCCTCCCGCCTCTGTCTGCTGGGCCGCTGGGCAGGAGGGGCAGCCGGTCTAGGCGGGACGGCCCTGCTCTCCCCAGAACAACACTTCCAGTATTGAGCCACATGGAAGGGTTCTGCAAAGGCCCAAGCCTAATGGTGCTTGTGGGTTATTCAACACTGGGAATGTAATTAACATGACTGGATTACAAACTTAAAAGTGGTTACAAATGGTAACTTTCACATCACGAGTATTTTACCACACTATGAAAAAATTTGCAAAAGTGGTAAACTTTATGTTTTATATATACTTTATGACAAAAACATTTTCAATTCTGTTTCTAAGTTACGCTAGTCATACCTCAGCAGCCACACAGGCCAGAGGCTATAAAATACCACATTGGACAACAGTTATAAAACATTTGCAATACCACCAAGTGCTAGCAGGTAGGAAACTGGAAAGCCTTCCACAAAAAGCACCCTCTGGAGGCTGCCTCAGCAATGAGCTGCATTTGAAAATCATAAATAGTGTAGCTGTATGCCTTTCGAGCCAGAGGAGAAGGTGTGGGGCCAGCACAGGCTCCCAAGGCTTGGAGCAAGGCAGCTCTGGAAACCAGAACAGCAAAACACTAGAAAGAAATTTCTTCATTCTCCTGGTACTCTAGAAAGATGAAAGACTGCTAAAGTAACTTTTCAGGATCAGCCAAGATTAAAGCTGAATTCAGGGCTGGGGAGATGGCTCAGTAGAATAATAAGCGCTTCCCTGGCAAGCGCAAGGACCTGAGTTCAATCCCCGGTTCTGAAAAAAAAAAAAAAAAAAAAAAAGCTGAATTCAAATGAATTAAACTCCAGTTGGGTGTGGGGTGCATGCCTGTAATCCCAGAACTCTTGAGGCTGAACCGGGAGGATCACCACAAGTTTGAGGCCAGTCTGGGCTGTATAAGCGAGTTCAAGGCCAGCCTGGGCTACACAGCAAGACCCTGTCTCCAAAAGCCTTCTGGTTGTTCTCCATCTTGCTGTACACCACAGTCACCTGGAGACTTCATCAGTACACCGAGGTCCCCACCCTACCTACAGGGGAGTCTTCTTGTTCAGGCAGCCGGAGATTTTTACATCTCCCCAAAGCGATTCTGCCGCACAGTGAGGGTTAAAAGCCACCGTGCTGGAACATAAACGCCATGCTCTGCGGGCAAGAGGGCTGCTGGGAAACCTCCCTTCTCTCCTGTCAGGCAACCAGCGCTCTATCTGCACAGATGGCGGCCGACAAGAGGAAGGTTAATCACCCTATGCACACAAAGCCTTTCCTCTGCGTTTCTACAGTCCAGGAGGCCAGGCACCTGAGAAGAGAGCTGCGCAGAGCAGAAAGTCACACTGAATTATTAAAATCAGAATTCATTACATGAACTCAAAACGAATCCCTTATTAAAAATCTTAAATGCTAGCTTGTTGACCTTAATCTCATAGAAGAAAATGCAGGAAGCACAAAAGGCTATTCTTTGTATATGGTCCTTTTTTGTTGTCCTAGGGGTTGAGCCACAGCCCCAGGCATGCTGGCCACATGTGCTACTGCTAAGCGCCCTCCTGCCAGACCTCTTTATTTTTTTATTTTGAGACAGGGTCTTGCTAAGTCACTTTGGGTGGCCTTGAACTTGTGATCTTCCACTTTCTGAGAAGGAAACATTTTTTACGGATTGAAAGCATTTTAAGGGCCAGGGAGATGGCTCAGTGGAATAAGCACTTCCCTGGCAAGCGCAAGGGTCTGAGTTCAATCCCCAGTTCTGCACAAAAAAAAAAAAAAAAAAAAAAAAAGAAAGAAAGAAAGCATTCTAAAAGGCTCATGACAACAGGGAGACCGGGCCATAAAGGCACAAGAACCACTGTGCTTTGAAAACTTCCTACTGCCAACTTGCCAAGGAGATCCATCCTGTGCCACCTGTCACAGAATTTTGCTTTTCATTAATCATTAATGGGTCAACAATAATGCGAGTGGAGCAGAAAAAACTGTTCTCAAGACCAGTAGGGAAGAGGATGGCCAGCATTTCTGGGAAGCTTTTGGTCTAAATGTTTTCCAGATACTATCTCACTCAGTTCTCACAGCCACCGTCTGAGTCTCGTTCTGTTATCGTTGTTTTCTCGTTAACGGAAACTGAGAGGCAGGGGTTAGAACACCTGCTCAGAGCCACCAACTGGAGGAAAAACCCCAGGCTCCAAAGGTAGCAAGTCTGACTCCGGGGCACGGGTCCCTGACCAGGGCTACGCTGTCCACCTCTGCCCTCAGTGTCAGCAAGACAGGCAAGCGTGGCAGTGGCTAGCCAAGTGGGACCTGGAGGAATGCACAGCACTAGGAGGAAGGGAACAAGGGGACAGAGGACAGGACAGGACAGCATCTGCTGCAGAGGACAAACCCAGAGGAAGCAGGATTCTTCCCTAATTCTCTCAACCAAAACAGCAACATACACACCAAGTTTTAAGAGGCAGATATAAAATGAATGAAACAAAGGATGGGGAGAAATACTAGGTGTTAAATAAAATTACAATCCAGGGCAGGAAACAATAAAGTGAACTACACAGAGGGAAGCTGAACCAGGAACGCTCTGAGAGAATGAACAGCTTTACCTGAGGAACAGAGCTTTCTCAGTGCCTGGGGGAAAGTACGCTGTCTCCAATAGAAAGACAGCTGAAAAGCACAGGAAAGTGAGGGACCGCACACAGTCGCAGAAGTACACCCCACACTATACGCAAGTACGCTGACGTCGTGTCTTTGAAACCAAGTGGGTTTGCCTAGCAGAGCGGCTACACAGCTTGCAGAGAGAGCTTCACGAGCAACAGGAGAGAGGCAGATGCAGTGTTTCTAAAAGCTTACCCCCAAGCACCTGAGGACCAGGCAGCCGAACCTCACACAAGCCCCTCCACCAGCGCTGGACATACATTTTTAACATTTTCTCTCCCTACACCTTTTCCCCATAGGGAACTTCTGAGAGTCCCAACAAATCACATTTTGTGACATCAGGACTCAACCAAGCCACGCGCACATGGCAGAGGAGAAAAGCTGGAAACCAGACTAGAGTCAATGGCGTTTGGATGCAATCCATATTCAGACAAAGCCATGTTGGGAAACAAAGGCATACGGCAGGATGACCTTCTCACTTCTTGCTTTTACTATTTGTTGTCAAACAATAAGCATGACAAAAGTCACAGGCAGGTCATTCCAGGGACGTGAACCACACGGAACAGCCAGACAGCCTGGATTTACGGGCAGCTATCTGCGCTCAGCAGGGTTTGTACAGACTTGACCTGTCGCTGGGATCTAGAACTCCTCTCCACGAGTGCGCTTGGGTCTCTGAACTGCGTGGGAAGGCTACTGTGACAAGGGACACGCACTGCCAGGTTGACAGAAGGGGTGTTCAGCCTGTGATAAGTTTTTCCAACTCAGAAATAAACTGAAGGCTTTCGTTGGCAAGGTAAGCGATTCAGCACAGCACGGACACAGTGAATATCTGGGCCGTAAAAGCAAGAAATGGAGAGCCTTCCCCATAGGGAAGTCGAGGCAGCGCACAGCCGTGGACCCTGCAACACAGAAGAAACGAGGACCCGAAACTTTTGAAAGGATACGGTCTGTACCAGGAAACAACGTCCTTCCGGTCAACAGCTCGGCCATTATGCATCCCACTGACCAGATGTCCACTGGCAAAATTAAAGGGGAGTAAAGGAACGGAGCAAGAACACAAGAAAAAATACGTAAATGAAGTAAAAGTGCATGCACCATCAATATCGTACCATCAATATCACCGTACTCGTGACAAATGACACCATGACTAGGGGCAAAATACTCAACAGTTAAGACATCTCATGTTCAACATCTTACTCACTTTTGTAGAAATAAATAAGTTTATTAAGACCTTTACAACTCTTAATAAAGGGATTCATTCATAGGGCAAGCAAAACATACTTAAGGCAAAAGAAACAAACTACTCATAAGGGGGTCAAAGTTTGGTACTGGTAGCACCCATATTCTCTCAAGGATCTTCCTTCCTCCCTCCCTCCCTCCCTCCCTCCCTCCCTCCCCATGATCAGACTTTTCAAATAATATAGAAGGGTTAAGATTATGAACCCGTCGTCTTCAGAAAGAAGTACTCAACATTTACGTTGAAAACATACATGAAGAACACAACAACTGCTAAGTTCCGAAGCTTGGAAACTGTATATAAAAGTGCCTTTGCCCATCTAGGCAAATGACGCACTTCCTATTTGTAGGCATTTAAAGGGTCACCAAGGGAAGGAAGATGCTCGCTACTCACACACATCACTACCTTTCTATCAAACTCATTCAAACTAGTATTGGCAAGGCAGAAAGCCCAACGTGACAGCACCTGTCTGGTTGTAATGCATCCAGTTCAGCATGATCTCGGGAGCCCTGTACCACCTGGTGGCCACGTAGCCTGTCATTTCGTCATCTGTATGTCGAGCTAGTCCAAAATCCAGAATCTAAGGGGAAGAAGAGAAATCAGAAACTGGGCCAGGCAAGATGCTTAGACAGCTACCACAGGCAGGGGAATAATCTACTGCCTTATTAAAAAAGGAAAACAACGCAGTGTTTTCATAAATGGATTTCCTGGTCCACACTTAGAATACATGGTAAGCACACTACTAGACTTTTTTTTTTTTTTTTTTTTTGCAGAACCGGGGATTGAACTCAGGCCCTTGCGCTTGCCAGGGAAGCGCTTATTCCACTGAGCCATCTCCCCGGCCCCACTACTACACTTTTAAAAATAAGTAATTTAGTCTTTTGAAACATAGGTCTCATTATGCAGTTCAGGCTGGCCTTGGCTCACTTTGTAGCCCGGGCTGGTCTTGAATTCACAACAAACCTCTTGCCTCAGCCTCATGAGTGCTGGGATTACAGGAGTACACCACCATACCTTTCTTTTTTTTTTTTTTTTTTTGCAGAACCGGGGATTGAACTCAGGCCCTTGCGCTTGCCAGGGAAGCACTTATTCCACTGAGCCATCTCCCCAGCCCCTCACCATACCTTTCTTAACAAATATATTCCATGAAAAATAAAAATGTGACTCCTAGGTGCAGAACAATAAAAACATCCATACAAATGCTTACACGCGCATAGCCTTAGGAGCTTTACATAGCCCCAAACCAGAACAGAAGCAAGGGCCAGAAGAGAGGGGTAAGCTTCCCCTCCCCATACAGTGGACTACTACCAGGGTAAGATGGAAGAAGCTATCGATACCTGTAACAATACAGATAAAAACCGTACTCAGCAAAAGCCAGATGCACAAAAACATGATCCCACTCACTTGAAACGCTGGGGAAGATCCAGCTATGGTATGAGAACACACAGCAGTGGCTGCTGGGAGGCAAGATTAGGCATGCAAGGGTTAAGATTACTCGGAAGCGGGCCGGGGAACCTTCTGAAATTGTGGAAATACTCTTTATTATAAATGTGGTGGTCACATGGATATGTAAGTTTGCCAAAATGGTGTACTTTTTTTTTTTTTTTTTAATGTATTTAGTACAGGGTCTACAGGGCCTCACTATGCAGATCAGACTCTTAAGTCTCCCAAGTGCTGGGATTCCAGGTGCACGCCACCACGCCTCTCAATCGCCAGTCTCTGCATGCACCAAGGGCGGGGCTGGCATGGCACACCAGAGGTCGAACCCTGGTGCCTACGTCTGCCTAGGCAGGCACTTCAGTCCACTGAGCTACCCGGCCGGCCCAATGTGTACTTTATTGCAATTGTTTGTTTGTTTAAGTACTGGGGAATCAAACACAGGATCTGACACCTGCCAGCCAGGCAGGTGTTTATGCCACTGAACTATCTTACCTCCTCAGCCCTGTAACTGTTCTTCAAAATTTGATTAAAAAAGTGCTCGCTTCGGCAGCACATATACTAAAATTTGATTAAAAAAAAGAAACAGGGGCCGGGGAGATGGCTCAGTGGAGTAAGTGCTTCCCTGGCAAGCGCAAGGGCCTGAGTTCAATCCCTGGTTCCACCAGAAAAAAAAAAAAAAAAAAAAAAGAAAAGAAACACAAAAGAGTAGAAAAGTTCTCTGTTCGTTTAGTAATACTTAATTACCAAATTTCATATTTAAATTATTCTTAGTGAGTGGGATTCTGCTGCCTTTTTTTTTTGGGGGGGTGGTCTGTTTGAGATAGGGTCTTACTATGCAGCTCAGGCTGGCCTTGAGCTCACTTTGTAGCTCAGGCTGGGCTCAAACTCTCAAAGATCTCCTGCCTCAGCCTCCCATGTGCTGGGATTACAGGCGTGTGCTTCTTAGGAATCTATTTATTTTAGTAATTACATAGGATTGCTTAGTTGGTAGTCAGACTATAATTTTCCTTTCTTATAATTAATATTATTTATTTATTTATTTTTGGAACCAGGGATTGAACTCAGGCCCTTGCACTTGCCAGAGAAGCGCTCATTCCACTAAGCCATCTCCCCGGCCCCTAATATTATATTTTTATTATTTTTTTTCCTAATATTATATTTTTAATTCAATTTTATTTTACAATGAAAATAAGACACCTAATGGCATGTTAGATGTTACTAAAACAGCCTCTTCAGTCTTCGGTTTAAACATCAAAATCTGATACTCCTAAGAACAATACAAATTTTCAGATAAAAAGTCACGGCTTAAAAATTAAAAAAAAAAAAAAAAATCTAGGGGGCTGGTGAGATGGCTCAGTGGTCTAAAGCACCTACTTAGAACAAGCTTAGCAAAGCACAGGGACCGAGGGTTCAATCCCCCAGCACCACATGCCAGCCAGCCCCGCCCCCTGGTGGACTGAGCTGGCCACACACCCCCCACACAAATAAATAAATAAATAAAATTTAAAAAAAAGAAAAAGTCACGGCTTATAAATTCATTCCTGATGGAAGTTTGCTGGGGTAGTCAAATCATCTGAAGATGGAACTCACAGTCACCCCTGCCGCCCCCACTTACCTTCAGCTCACAGTCTTCATTCACAGCTAGGTTACTTGGTTTGAGGTCCTAGGGACAAGAACAGAGAGGACAGGTCAACTGTGCGACACGTGACAAGCTATCGCCTCACAGCCACCCGTGAGGCTCTCACATCGATGTCAAGACCTCGTCCTGCCATCCGCGGGCTATCTTCCTCCCGCCAGCAGCCAGGCCAAATCAGCCTCACACAGGCACCACTCAGAGATTTCTTTCAAGTCTAAAACTTCAGCAAAGCTACAACCAGCCAGTCACTATCTCAGTGGTCACAAGAAAGCTCACGCGCAGAGGCTAGCCGCATGCCCCCCAGGCCCCCCACCTCCCCGCAGTGATGGGAAGGGCCCCTCACATACCCTGTGGATTATGTCAGCTGAATGTATATACTGCGAAGAGAAAACAGTCAGTTAGAGCAAAGCTGTCTCTGACTTCCCACTGTCGTACTCTAGGACTTATCTGGGGTACACTTTCCTGAGTCAATAACAACTGCCGGTGTTCACTGTGGCCTTGGAAATCAGTGTCATCACGAGGGTTCTACACCTTTACCATGACTGTTAGGGGTTTCCATAGCCATCAGCTCTGCTCACTTGAGCTTTCAACCTATTTTCTTTTTTAAATTTTTTTTTTAATTTTAACATTTATTGTGTGTGTGTGTGTGTGTGTGTGTGTGTGTGTGTGTGTGGCCAGCTCGGCCCACCAGGGGGCGGGGCTGGCTGGCATGTGGTGCTGGGGGATTGAACTGCGGTCCCTGTGCTTCGCCAAGCTTGTTCCAAGTAGGTGCTTTAGACCACTGAGCCATCTCTCCAGTCCCTCAACCTATTTTCTGATTATCCTGCTGCAGCTCAGTGAGGACTGGGAGGTGCTAAACATCAAAAACAGCTCAATTTCTCAACATTGTTTATCTGCTCCTCCCACAACTGAACTGGCTTCCTTGAGGACAGCTTTTAAAAGCCTCAACAGGACACCGACCAGATACACACTAGAGCTACTAATTTGCAGATGTAATAGTGAAAAGTTCTGAAATCTCAGGCATTTATAATGAGTATCTGTCGGTAAAATGAGAAGATGCCTGGCCTTGCTTCGAAGAAAAGCAATCCACGGTGTGAGAAGCACAGAAGGCAGCGTGCCCGCTGGGAGAGCACGACAGCTCCTTATAGGGCGAGCCCCTCGTGAGGCCGGCTTGAGCTCTTTGAAAGAAAAGCTGCTTGCTTAAGTCCTGAACGGAACGAGGGGAGGAGCTGGCCAAGTCACTTCTCCAAAATACTGCTGATACTGTCTGTACCTTTAGACCTCGAAGAATCTGGTAGATGAGGAACTGAACATGGTCGTCCGTAAGCTTCTGACATTTCACGATGTTATTCAGATCTGCCCCCATGAGATGGGTCACCAGATACCTGGAGAGAAGACCAGCGTTACACAATCCGTCAGAACCCAAGCGAAGTGCTGATCTTCTTAACGCTTTCAAAAGTCTTTAAGGAACCCCCCAGTAAGTGCTGCAATGATAAGAAGAGCTCAAAAGCTTCTTATTGGGAGAGTCAGAAGGGATGGGGCTCACTGTCGACACTATTAGTCTAATTTTACCTCCTGTCACTGAATCGAAACATTTTTGTACTCTGTCCTACTTGTATGTTTCTCTAGGTTCTCTAAAGAAAATAATAAAAAGTAAGGCAAAAGCAAAGGTAGAGGCTAGAAAGATAAATGTGCTGGCGTCAGTTTTCTTAACAAAAAATATTATGTTTGCAGGAGACATACACAGTACAGCTAAGTGCATGACCAACATAAAGCACTTTATCGTTTTTTAATCCATTATTAGGATATTTTCACCTTATCACAAAGCTTCTACATGGTGGGATCCAAAATAGAGTATCTTTAGTTTTTCAGACTATTAGGTCTCCTTTTTCAGGAATGGCTGGGAAGAGGGCATCGCCCCTGGAATACCCCTGCATTTACCTTAGAGGAAGGAGGAACGCATCCGCTCGCAGGCAGGACGAGGCATTCCAGGCCTTCGCAGCACGGGTGTGGTCGTGATTATTAATCCTCTTTATGTGGTAAGATCAGGGAACAATTACATTCAAGCCCAACAGGTTTGCCACTGAAATGCTAGACCCAATGCCATAACCCACTCATTACTCAATTACACAGCTTGGGATTGGAACCATCAGGCCAGGACTCAGAGGTGAAATTTTTAAAGGTCAGGGAGGGGACTTGCTTTCCTCGAAGAGGAGCTGGAGTTTTTCTCCAGCATAATTTCCCTGTAGGCTGCCGTTCTCAATTTCAGGAAAGTCAATGGGATTAGCTTAGCTGTAACCGGGTACACAGGGTACAATTTTAGCATCTGATGCTTGTAGAAGTTCAGTTGTTCCTACTGCTTTGAGGAAAGGGTGAACTTTAGACATAATTTAAAGAGTAAATTAGGGCCGGGGAGATAGCTCAGTGGCACAGCGCCTGCCCAGCAAGTGCAAGGTTGCTAGTTTGATTCCTGGTACAAAAAACCCCAGTAAATTAGACTCTGCAGTGTCTCTACCAAGGCAGCTCTGACTGGAGAGCTGTTCTAAGCGCCACACAACCCAGCAGCAGCACTGGCACCGGCTGGCAAGCAGCACTACCCTGAGTCTCACACTCTTCTCACCACCGCTCTGAGGCACATCCTGTCAGGATTTCAGGGACAGGCCCCAGGAGCAGAACAAGGGTAAGGAATCCGGGCAAGGTCAAAAGGAGCAACGACGTCACAAACGTAGGGCACCCTCTGAGGCATGGCACACACTGCTTCCCAAGTCTTCCACAGAATTATCAAGAGAACAATGACCTCTTTAAAAAGCTTTATAAACCAGATGTGGAGCATGCCTGGAATGCTAGCACTCTGGGTGGCTGAGGTAGGAGGAGCTCAAGTTCAAGCTCAGTCTGGGCAATTTATGATCCTGACAAAACCCTATCTCAAAATTTAAAAACTGAAAAAAGGGCTGGGATATAGGTCAGTACAAAGGGTCTGGGTTTAACCTCAAATATGGGGGGGGGATGTAAAGGTCACAGTAACATGGGAAACACTATCTCAACAGTTTCCTCAATTCCTTAATAATTCTCAATGTTTATTATCAGAATCAATCTTTAATGAAGAAAAGCTACCAAGAACCTAGCATAATCCCATCCTGATCAGTCACTACAGTTTTTATTTATTTTGTTTTGGGTTTTTTGGATTTTAGGGAAGGGTCTACAGGGTGTTCAGGGTTTTACTACTAGATCGGACCCATAGCGATCCGCCTATTTACAGCCCCACGAGAGCTCGGATTACAGGTGCGCACTACCACGCCCAGTCTCAATAGCCATCTCAGCAGGGCTGGCATGGCAGGACCAGGGATCAAACCCCTGGCCCTGCACCTGCTCGCAGGCACTTTAATCCACTGAGCTGTCTGGCTGGCCTACAGTCACTAGTTTTTTTGGTTTTGGGGGGGTTTTTTGGTGGAACCGGGGATTGAACTCAGATTCTTGTGTTTGCCAGTCAAGCGCTTATCCTATTGAGCCATCTTCCGGGGCCCAAATTTTCTTTTCTTTTCTTTTCTTTCTTTCTTTTTTTTTTTTTTCCCCTGCGGAACTGGTGATTGAACTCAGGCCCTTGCACTGGCCAGGAAAGCACTTATTCCACTGAGCCATCTCCCCGGCCTACAGTCACTAGTTTTAAACCTCAAATTGAAACATTTATTCTGATAAATATGAGGATGTTGTGAAAAACTGGTTGTTCTAAAATCAGGAGTCTCTTCAAAAATCTGAGCTAATGATTGCTGTACCTATAATGCTAATGGTAAATTTCAAAGCTCAGGCTACAGAAGCAAGAATACAATTTCAGTCCTACAAGACTATGTTCTTGGGTGGACTATTCCCCGCTGTATAATTTCTCCCAAGCCTCTGCTCCATTGCAGCTCTAGGCTTTCCAGAATGAGATGCGACTGTCCTACCACAAGGTCTCTGCCTGCACCACTTTTCCCCTAGTTACCCATACTCTGAACTCCACTTGCAAACTTTGCTCAAACCCCACGTGAGGGAGGCTGCCCTTACCACTCCACTTTAAACCTCGTCTCTCTTTATAGATTCCTCACTCCTCTTCCTGTCCTACTTTTTCTTTTCTGCAGTATTCCCTGCTAACATACTGTATCGCCTCCCCGTCTGCAGGCCCGTTGTTGTCATCTACCTGTGCCGTCCGAGGGCAGCAGGGCCGTGCCTAGCTCAGTGCAGTGCCTAGTGCACCTAGAGCCTGTCTGGCAGGCAGCAGGCACTCCCGTACCACTGGGCGCATGACTCAGGACGAGTCACACAGCACTACTTACGACCTGGGAAGACACGCACACCACGATCCTCCCTGGTACGCAGACCAGCCTGTTCTACAGCAAGGGGTACAGACCCATTCAGCATCCAAGCAGGCAGCTTAGCAAGCTCGGTTCACAACCAACTATTCTCACTTAAGTCAATGGTTACCAAAATGTATCCTCTACGCTACTGGCACCACCAAACTAGGCTCAGTGTTGTAGCATATGGTCTCCATTGGAGGGTAAAACAAAAAAAGCTGGTTAAGAGTGTTGAGCATAAAAAAAAAAAAAAAAAAAAAGTCAAGGGGCTGGGGAGATGGCTCAGTGTAGTAAGTGCTTCCCTGGCAAGCGCAAGAGCCCGAGTTCAATCCCCGGTTCCGCAAAAAAAAAAAAAAGAGTGTTGAGCATGCTATCAGCCAAATCGACCCGACGTTCATGCATCGTTCATTCGTTCACTCACTCCACCCACATATACTTCTCCTTGGGCACTGGTGGGGGCAGCATGATGAAACAGGTTAGCTGAGAAGAGGCGTTTTTAAAGGCGCAAGCACAACGCAGCATGACCAGAGCCGCAGAGAGGGTGCTAAGTGCTGGAGAACGCGCGGAGCAAGGGCCCTAAGCGAACTAAGCAGCAGGGAAAGGTTTCTTGAAGGACTCAAACTCTAAGCATGGCCTTGAAGTTTCTTTGCCTATTTTAGAGAAAAGGGTGGCATTTTACTATCACATCAGAAGTAGACTGTCATTTTTTAAAAGAATGTGCAGTTGGGGCTGGTGAGATGGCTCAGTGGTCTAAAGCACCTACTTAGGGGCTGGAGAGATGGCTCAGTGGTCTAAAGCACCTACTTAGAGCAAGCTTAGCAAAGCACAGGGACCGCGGTTCAATCCCCCAGCACCACATGCCACCAGCCCCGCCCCCTGGTGGGCTGAGCTGGCCACACACACACACACACACACACACACAAATAAATAAAAAAGAATGTGCAGTTTACTTAGATTCCAAGCGTGAGTCAGCAAAGACATGTACAAGGGGTGTCACCAGCTACCACAGTCACTGACCACAAACCTTTTTGAGAAGGAAAAAACAAAACAAAACAAAACACATCCACCCACGCGAGGTGTGGGACACATGCCTGCGGTCCTAGCTCCCTGAGAAGCAGAAGCTGCAACAAAACTTGAGCCCACCAGTTGGAGAGCAGCCTGGCAACACAGCAAGACCCCACCTGAAAAAATCAAAAGCTCCTGCAAAGATTAACATTAACATAGTTAATCTGCTCATCTTCCTCCCAATCGTTTATTTTCCTGTATTACCTATTTTGAGTACTCGGTCTGTTCTCAAAGAATAGCAGTACTTCTGTAAGCTCAAGTGACTCGACTGGATATTTCTTCCCATGGCAGGAGGAAGGTACTACTTCCATGTGGACACGTACACACACACACACACACACACACACACACACTCTCAGAACTGATGCAAAATGTCCCCAGATATGAAAGAACGGGTTATTTTTCTACTTCTATAACACTTCTCCATCCCATACAAACCTTTCTGCAAACTTCACAATTTCCTCCATTCTGATTTCTCAAATTTCGACATCCACACCTCAGCCCTACTTGTTTCTGCAAACCCAGTTCTTACTTTCTTTAGAAGAGTTCCCGTTCCAAGCTTCTCTAACAGTTTGAGATCACTTTGCACTGTACGTTGTTTAGACCCTAGACTCTGATCTGACTCCATCCTGTAGCTATTTTAAGTAAGTAAGTATGCTCTATCTCTGAAATGAGACCAAAAGCAACTGGAGGACATCGTTTTGGTCTCTTCCACTGACTTCTGACACAGTATTTACTCAATATGCAGAGTTATCAGCAGGCCTCAAATGATAGTAATAGCCTTTGGACTTTAAAAAAAAAAAAAAGAAAAGCTATAGTGAGAAACAGATTTAGAGCAAAAAAACCTGGGATGCAATTTTGTAGGTATTTGTGTATAATTAGCTTCAGCTCTTCCAATCTTAAGTTTCCTCATTTGAAAATTAGAGATAATAATATGGACCTCACAGGATTGTATCAGATGAGAAAACTTATGCCCAAGCCACTGTCAACCACAAGATGCTACTGAATAAAATGACATTCGTAGGACAGAACTGCCTATGCACATGTTTTCAGTTTCACCCACATGCACAAGACCATGTTTTGAAAGAAAGGATTCTATGTCAAGAATTCAAACCAAGTCAGGCATGGTGGTACACACCTGTAATCCCAACATTAGGAGGCTGAGGCAGGAGGGTCACACAAGTTCAAGATCAGCCCGGGCAACTTAGTGATTTAGTAAGACTGTCTCAAAAAATTAAAAAAAGAACAGGGATGTAGTACAGTGCAAAGGCACTAGGCTCTGTCCCCAGGACAGCAAAAAGAAAAAAGGAAACTGTAATTGGATATTAATAATGAAGAACATCATTACATAAATTTTAGTTCCTGGAAAAGTCTCAAATCCACTGCAGAGTTTTACCTGACATGCTCATCCACAAACCTGTCTAATATATTAATAAGGACCCAGGAGAAACACTGCTTCTACTAAAATTAAATCTTTTTCTTGCAAATTATGTAATGTGTTTGGGTACAGAGAAGTGAAGGCAGAGTTGTCATACCACATAAAAGTAAAACCTGTTATCCTTGTCCCAATCCCACCCCACCTCCATCCAGTCCCCTTTGCTGTCTCCTCTCTCAGGCAACCTGGTCACTAAGGCTTAGGACAAAGGCCCAGATGAGGCGGTCCGTCCCCATCCAGCTCCTCCTTCAATTCCCACTTCCCCAACCTTCTGATGCCTAACAGGCTTGGAGCTCAGGGTGCACAGGTCCCTTTCTGGCAAAGCCTTCTCTGAAGACACCTCATGTTTGGGAGTAGGCAGCAGCAGAGCTGAGGCCCCTGTGCACACACTGTACCTGCCCCGCCATCGCTATCTCCCTTCATCTTTTCATTACACAACAGCAAGGGGCCTGTTATTCTTCTCAGTACCAACAACTTAGAAAAGAAGGATCAGACTTTACCTCCAGAGAGCCTACATGTGAGAGAGAAGAAAGCCAGGAGCAGGTGGATAAGGGCAAGGTCTGCTAAGAGCAAAGCAGTGTGAGGACCAGTCAGTGACAGCGTGGGTAGGAACACAGCAGAGAAAAGGTTCTGAGGAGAGGAGAGGAGCCTCAGTGGTCCTGAGGGAAACGGACAGGAAGGTACTGCAGTGATGTCAGGAACCAGCGCAGCTGCCCGCTGGGAATGGCGTGAGGGAGCACAGGGCCGAATAGGGCAGGATCTCCCCAGACTTCAGAGACTACCTTTTGATTTGATCTTCTGAATTGTTCTTCTCTCGCATTTAGAAGTCTGAACTCAAAGGGTATGGATTATGTTTGTTATATTTCTCACAAGTTAGGTCTTATAGAAGGTAGATAAATATTTATTGAACAAAATCAATAAAACAGAAATTCTCTTTATCAATTCAATGCCTTCAGTTCTGTGAATATTGAAATAAGATTGATCCCTGGTAACAAAACAATATTTTTCCCCCCTTTGGCTCACTCAGTCCACACTGGGGGTGGAGCTGGCACTGCATGTGGTGATGGGGACTGAGCCGCGGTCCCTGAGTGCTTGCCTAAGCAGGTGCTTTAGACCACTGAGCTATTTCTCTAGTCCCCCCCAAAATAAAAAATTTAAAAAAATAAAAGAGTTGAAGGGAAGTAAAGGGAATGGGAAAAAAGAATTAAGACATATTATGTATAAATATAAGTTCCCTATAATGAATGTGATCCTTATGTATGGCCAATACATATATATTAATAAAAAGAATAAAATATAATTTTTTTTTTTTTTTTTTAAAAAGAGGAGGCTAAACTTATTAGTCGGACACGTGCACCTGCCAGCACCAATATCCTCTGCCTGTGGGCTTTTACCAAGTGAAGGCTGTCAGGTGACGTGGCTGCCTCTTACAAGACCACAGAAAAATCCAAGACTCCACTTCCATTTCCCTCTCTGAGAATGAAGCAGAGGTCAGAATTCAGTGCAGGAGACCTGGGGCAGGAAGTTGTAAAAGAGAGAAAACTTGGCAGAAAACTAATTTCCATCTAACCCACTCGAATCTCAAATTTGACTAATAGTGAGAAAATATTCTGGAGTTTAGAAAAGGGTGGTTTTAAAGGTTGCGTAATTTCCACCTACCCCATGACAATTCAAATTTCCTGAAATAGTTCCCCAGGAAAATTCAAAAGCTCTCCATCGCTGCTAAGCTTGATCAGAGATAGATAAAGCAATTAAGAAAAAGCAACACTGTGATTAGAGAAGCTGCAGTTGGCTCTGGGTTTCGTTAGGTTCTAACACTGACTAGTTAAAATCTTTGCATTTCTAAGTATCTACAGCATACAATATTTTCACCTATGTGGCCGTTAGCCAAATACTTCTGTCAAGAAGCCAATCAAAATATCGTAATCATTTTTAGTCATTTACAAGATCTAGCTATTTTAACTGCACATTTTCCAAACACCATCTCCGTCTGTAAGATTCAGCAGCCTCATGCTGTTCCTAATGAAGAAAACTCCTGCCTGGTTCTGGTCGCGGTTCTGGTCCTGGTCCCGGTTCTGGTAGCCTGGGCTGCTGCTCACACACGTGCAAGCTGCCATGCAAGAGCAGCAGTGATCCACAGCCACCAGGGTCAGGAGCTAGAGGACAAAATACTCCACATCTGAGATGCACTCAGGGCAGCTTCTCGGACCTGGGTGGTCTTGGCCCAGCTTCCCACAGTGGTGACCGCTCCATCCACCCTCTCACCAGCCTCTCCCCTTCTCTATTTCATGCCCCGTGCCCCGACCATGGCTCCTGAGACACAAACTCTGCTTCCCAGGAGGACAACGATAGAGATGGTCACGAAACCGGCAGGAGGAGAACTGCTCCAGCTGTGGGCTCTGCCCCCGTCCCAGTGCAAACACCTAACACTTGGAAGATCGGCAGGTAAGCCAGTATCACAGCCCATACGCACAGGCGAGAAGAGAGCAAAATAGCCTATCTGGAGCAGCAGCTAAGGTACATTTACTGAAAAGCATCTTTAAAAGGTAGGAGAGGCAACTGGAGAAGAAAAGGCAGAGTCAAAACTCCCTCCACTCTCTTCTCTGTGGACCGTGTGAGGACGCAGCATCGACTCTCTGAAGGGGGCACCAGGCGCTACAACTGCAGGAGGTGCCAACCTGCGCCGCACACACCACGCATCTTCCATGGCACCCCACACATTTACTCACACGTCATTGAATTCCTCCAGGGACCTTGCAGGTGTGAAGACGTCCAACAGTCCAATCACCTATTTAAAAAAGAAGAAACCAAAAAGTAAGCATTGAACTCACCTTTAGGCCTTAATCGCTTTAAACAGAACTACTTCCAAGTCCAGTTACCTGAGCCGGTCACAGCATCATACACTTAATTCCAGCTGATTTTTTTACTCCAATTATGATTTGATTTTTACTTGTTCATAGCACCTTTCATAATAACCTACTTATTTCATCATTAAAAATCTTTCTCTTTTATCAATAAAATTATGGGGGAAAAATAAAAATAAAAATCTTTCTCTTTAAGATCTTTTCACAGCCAATAGTTTTTTGTACGGCCAGCTCCGCCCACCCTGAGGGCGGAGCTGGCGCAGCATGTGGCACAGCATGTGGCACAGCCGGGGATCAAACCATGTGGCGCCTGCCTAGGCTTGCCTAAGTAGGCGTTTTAGACAGCTGAGCTATCTCCACGACCCACATCCAATAGTTTATTAGAAGGTAAAGAGAGTTAGAATCCTCTGTGCACATGGACAAGTAGTTTAACAAATGAACGAAAAGAATAAGTCATATTTCTTCTTTTGGGTCCTTTTTGAGACAGGGTCTCGCTATGCAGTTCAGGCTGGCCTTGAACTTACTTTGTGGCCCAGGCTGGTCTCGAAATTGCAACAATCCTCCTGCATCATTAAGTCACGTTTCTGAAGCAGTAATTTTGCTTCAGAAGATGCCTTTAAAACCACTATTTTTAAATTCCAAAATATTTCTCACTATATTCTTTTTTTTTGGCAGAACCGGGGATTGAACTCAGGCCCTTGTGCTTGCCAGGCAATCGCTTATTCTACTGAGCCATCTCCCCAGCCCTCGCTATATTCTTGAGAGTACTTTTTTTTTTAGTATATGTGCTGTCAGTGAACACAGTATTTTCTGAGAAGGATTTTTTTTTTTTGTGAGGGGCGCTGGCTCAGGACACCTTCAGGGCAAGTCTGGGAAGGCATGACAATATGGAGACTGAACCACAGCAACCTGAGCCTCATTGCTCTAAGTACTCACTTAAACAACTGAGCTAATGGGCAGGCCCCCCACAGCATTTTCTGAATACTAAGTAAGTTTCTTAATTATTCTCAGGGATTTAGATCAGATTGCTTAACATGAACAGAGGAGGGGCTATCTTTACCTCAGGATAAGGCGAAGAGCTACCTAACAGTAAGCCATGGTGTCTAGGCAGGCTTTCTGGCCATAGATTTATGCTGCTGATTTACCCACACACAGCACCCCTACCCTCCTACTGCCCCCCAAAAAACCTAGCACTCATCACAACAGTAAGACACGGAAAATGAGAAATAACGTTCTTCATTTCCAGTGTGCCCCGTCAGCTCCAAGGGGATCTTAGGACAAAAGCTAAATGAGCACCACGAAAACTGGACCTGTCTGGCCTCACTACCAAGCTGCTCTCAACCAAGGGAAACAAACCACTTTAATGGCAAAGTAAAGCTCAAAACACTACAAGAAAAAAGAAAACTAATGAGGATGTTACTGCGCACACCCAAACATCAACTTTTTTTTTTCTATATTTAGTACAGGGTCTACAGAGTCTACAGGATCTTACTATGTAAATCGGACTCACAGTGATTCTCCCGTTTTCAGCCTCCCAAACACTGGGATTAGAGGTGTGCACCACCACCCCACGTCTCCATCACCCTCACAGCGCACCCCGGGGACCGAACTGGCTCTTGAGCACCAGAGCCTTGCAAGCCTGTATAAATTGTTCCAAGGGACACAGAGTCACCCTTCAGATCCTTGCCCACACAACTACATGCAAGAAAACCAAAACGCCACATAATTGCACGAGCCATTATAATTGTCATTAACATTTTGGGATATTTTCTTTGATTCTTTTGATGTACACAAATTAAAGAGGGGGTTGGTTTTACACTGTGTATAGTTTTATATCCTGACTTTTTACTTAACTTACAAGGACTGTTCTCATATTCCTTTCAGTGATATTTATTTACACCATATCTATCCTTTAAATAAGCCATAACCTGACCGTAGTATTTGGTAAATAGATTAATAGTAAATGAATTTGGTGTCTTCTCTGAGCTCCATCCACCTCATATGAAAGACAGAGGGTTATCACTGATTGTTTTTATAGTTCTGTAGGGAAGATGAAGGAGGCGATGCGCCGAAGGCAGGAGGCTAACAGCTAAGTAGGGATCACGCCCCACAGAACGACAAGATGCAGCACTCAGAAGTAAGCTCTTGGACGCAGCTATGCACAGAGCTAAACAAAACTACCCAACTGAGCAAATATGGCTCCAAGAAACGCAATGAACTAACTTGGAGATAACAAGAGCACTAGTTATAATATTTAACATATTTAACGCAAGCACCAAAAGGAACTTCGTAAAGCCATCCAGTTACATTCAAGCACTTTCAATTTTTTCATGTGTGACTTTTACCATATGCCCCTCTTCCACTCATTCATTGTATTACGGAGTATTAATCATAAGGAAAATAACGCAATGCAAACATTTACCAGCATTAAAATAGATCGGAGACCATTTTAGGAATCTTCCATAACCTCCTCATGGAAATTATCTTTTAAGTCATATTTTAATCTATTCCTTTACTCCTGCTATTATGTGATTTCGGCCACCTAAAAATAACACAGAAACCAAATTTCTTGAAAGGACCTTTATGACACAAGCAAGCAGCAAGTATCTACTGGTTTACCAGGACGAGGTTAGTGTAAGGCCTTCCACATAAATTTTTTTTGAGGGCACCAGGAATTGAACTCAGGACCTCATGCTTACCAAGCAAGTGCTGCACCACTGAGCCGTATCCCCAGCTCCCCAAATAAAATTTATGAAAGGATTTTCTTGTTTTTAAATTTCAAGAGGTACCGATCTCCAGGCCCAGAGGAACTGCCCAGGCGGCAAAGGCTGCCGCCAGAATGCTGCCTCCCTAATTGTCCCTTGAGCAGGTGATAATGACAGCAAGGTCACAAGTTCAGTGCAGACCAAGCCACACTGTGCTGGGAGATCAACTCTCACCATCACAGGCAACATCACCTAGCATAGCCACTCAGGTAATAATCATGAATCTGTCATTTGTCACTCATTACCACCAGCAGGAGGGATAACTCCAGATGTGGGTCAGAGGCACATGTGTGTAAAAGGTCACATGTGCACGCCAGGCATGGTGGTGCACGCCTAGCTTCCCAACACCCGAGTGACCGAGGCAGGATGGCCGAAAGTTCGAGGCCAGCCTGGGCTACACAATGAGTTCAAGCCCAGCCTGAAGTATAGAGCCAGACTCTGTCTCAAAAAACCAAAACAAAACAAATAACCAATCAAAAAGTCTGTATGCACTCTGAGCCCTAAAAATTCTACTTGTTACTAATACCCAAAATTTACAAAAACTTTTTAAGCTACTCTTGTCACCTCTGGAAGCTTGGCAGCTAGCTAAAAAGTAGGTGGTGACTCAAAGCTGCTGTTTAAAAAAAAAGTGGGGGAGGGGGGAGCTCAGTAGAATAAGCACTTCCTAGCAAGTGTAAGGGCCTGAGTTCAATCCCCAGTTCTGCCAAAAAAAAAAAAAAAAAGAACAAAGAAAAGGAGGCTGAAAGAGGACTTCTCTGAAAATCCTAAAAACTTACTGGAAGTCTTGGTTCTTTGCCCAATAAAACTACTTTCACATTGTAAGCACCTAATAAATGTTTACAGGATGGGCTGAAAGGCAGGAAATTTTCTACACCAAGTCACAGTCCTCTGACCGCTTCCCATTTCCCCTTGAACACCTGTCAGAAGCACACAGAGGCACGGGGCCCCCACCACGCTCTTGCTTCTGTTCAGAAATACAAATCGCCACTATCTGATTTATGAGGTCAGCCTCTGTGGCTGGCACCTAGACATTTAAAATAAAAGAAATTAAAAACGGGTGGCTTGTGAGCAAGGTGCTTATAACAACTTAGGCGGATTAAACCTCTTTTTCTGATGCTGGCAGCAGTCCTCTGTGGAGTACCGCCGCCTGTCCTAAATTAGAATGACCGAATCTCAGCCCTGTGCTTTCAAGCTTGCAAAGCACATTATGTTCCAAAGGCAACTTGCCCAACAGCATACTAGCCACCTTCATATAATGATCTCATGAAAGCACAAAAACACTAAGAAGGCTGATTCTTATAGTTCCAGAAAAGCCACAGTACAGATGCAATCCAAAATATTGCAACCCAATTATTATCCAAAATATGTCTGTCCTAAAAAACAGCAGCTTAAATTGTCTAGGAAGAAAAGTACTAGTAATCTCTCAAACCAGATGTTCTTAAATTAGCATAAGCTACATCAGCGGGCTTCCATCCCAGGGCTTCCAGAGGTGCCTTGGGTTCCATAAATGTTTGGTTTGGATTCTATTTTTGAAATATTTTTATGCTTTAAAAGCTGTGACAGGGCCGGGGAGATAGCTTAGTGGGATAAGTGCCTGCCAGGCAAGCGCAAGGTCCTGAGTGTGATCCCCAATACTGCAAAAAAAAAAAAAAAAGCAGCTGTGACATTGTCTGCGTCATATTTGTTAAATGGCAACAAAAACCAGCATACACATTCAGATGTGTTAGAGATCAGGCACAAACACATCAGCACAGCTGCCAGGACGCTTTGATTTTAGGCAGGCCTACGCGGCACCCCTACTCGGCCAGCTTTTTCCACATATCTCAACTCCTTGTAAACATGTCACTGATTAGGAGGGCCGCAGCTCTGTGCTAATGGGGGGGGGGGTGTTACACATACTGACCCCCCCCAGGGCCTGTCACACAGTAGACAAGTACTCGAAAGCCACATCTCAAACTCATTTTTTAAGTTTTGAGTCAAGGCCCCGCCAGCTGGTCCGTGCCAGCTGCCACACCTGGTCTTCCTGCCTCAGGAATTCCAGGCGGGCTGCACCGCACACAGCTGCGCTGGACATTTCAAAATCTCAGGTGTGTGCACAGCTGCTCATGAAGCGCATACTCGGGAACAGAGTTATCTGTACAAAACAGGGTTTAATAGTGTGCCATCAAAATAAAACACAGATTCCCTGGCAAGCGCAAGGGCCTGAGTTCAATCTCCAGTTCTGCCAAAAAATAAAAATTAAAAAAATAAATAAAACACAGAAATAAACAAAAAGCTGCACTCATGATTATAATAGCACTCACTATGTAATTACAAATCTATGTGTCCATGTCCTCAATTAGGAAAAGCAAGGGCTGGGGAGATGGCTCAGTGGAATAAGCGCTTGCCTGGCAAGTGCAAGGGCCTGAGTTCAATCCCTGGTTCCGCTTAAAAAATAAAAAATAAAATAATTTATCAATTAGGAAAAGCATGTACTAATAAAACAAAGTTTTACTAGTAAAGTAGCATTTAATTTGATTTTTTTTCTTACTATCAAGAAAAAAGTTGAGGGGCCGGGGAGATAGCTCAGTAGAATAAGCGCTTGCCTAGCAAGCACAAGGGCCTGAGTTCAATCCCTGGTTCTGCAAAAAAAAAAAAAAATGAAAGAGAAAAAGAAAAAGAAAGAAAAGAAAAAAGAAAAATGTTGAATTGTTAAAAAAGAGTTTGAACAAGCAAGTCCAAGTCTGCAGATTTTGAATTTTTCTACAAAGTAACAATCAGATGAGCTGAAGTTCTCTCAAATCTCTTTGGCCACATTTCTTTTTTTTCTTTTTTAAATATTTATTTATTTATTTATTTATTTTGTGTGTGTGGCCAGCTCAGCCCACCAGAGGGCGGGACTGGCTGGCATGTGGTGCTGGGGGATTGAACCGCGGTC